CTATAGTCCCAGCTACTTGGGAGGCTGAGGCAAGAGAATCGCTTAAGCCCAAGAGTTTGAGATTGCTGTGAACTGTGATGCCCCAGCACTCTACCAAAGGTGACAAAGTGAGACTCTGTCTCAAGAAAAAAAGAGGAGGCCAATAACAGGTACCTGTAGTATGGTGTGATCGATCTGTAGGTTGTGATGGAGAGGATGGAACATTATGCCATGTAGGAGCACCTGAGGGTGAGGGCAGCGCTTACTCCAGCTACTTTGGGGTGAATGTCACAAATAATTTCCAGAGGAAGTAATCTCAGCTGAGGCCTGAAGCATGGGTAAGGTATTCTTGGCATACGAAATAGCATGAGCAAAGAGTGGAAAATAAGGGGCCTATTATGGAAAGTGAAAGAAATTATGTCTGGCTGCGATGTGTGGGTATAAGATGAGAAGTAAGGAAGAATGACACTGGAGATGTTGGTGTTGGCCTTGCTTTAAGAAGGCCCTGTAAGGTAGGAAAGAAACTTGGGAAATTTTATGGGGTCAGGAGGAACCACAGCAGGATTTTATGTAGGGCTGTTAACATGTCCAGATTTCACTTTGTGAAAAGACAGTTTTTGTCTTCAAGTTTACAGTCCAATTATCAGATTAGACACAGACATTTAAACAAACAAACAAAAAAAATTAGGCCAGGTGCAGTAGATCATGCTTTTAGTCCTAGCACTCTGGGAAGCTGCAGTGGGTGGATCACCGGAGCTCACAGGTTCAAGACCAGCCTGAGCCCAGAGTAAGACATCTCTAAAAATAGCCAAGAGGTGGCGCCTGTGGCTCAAAGGAGTAGGGCGCCAGCCCCATATACCAGAGCCCAGCCAAAAACTGCAAAAAAAAAAAAAAAAAAAAAATAGCCAGGTGTTGTGGCGGGTACCTGTAGTCCCAGCTACTTGGGAGACTGAGACAAGAGAATCTCTTAAGCCCAAGAGTTTGAGGTTGCTGTGAGCTGTGATGCCATGGTACTCTACTGAGGGCAACAATAGTGAGACACTGTCTCAAAAAAGAAGAGGAAAGGCTCTGAATACCTCTAATCTGGTATTGATTCAGGAAAAGCTTATTCTCAGGCAGAAGGATTTAAATTAAATGTAAAATATTTATTTATTTTTCCTTTTGAGACAGTATCACTTTCTCACCCTTGGTAGAGTGCTGTGGTATCACAGCTCACAGCAACCTCAAACTCTTGGGCTTAAGCGATCCTCTTGCCTCAGCCTCCCAAGTAGGTGGGACTACAGTCGCCTGCCATAATGCCCAGCCATTTTTAGAGCCAGAGACTCACTCTAAAAATAGGCTGGTCTTGAACCTGTGAGCTCAGTCAATCTACCTGCCTTGGCCTCCCAAGTGCTGGGATTATAGGCATGAGCCACCATGTGGCTACCAAAAGAATTTTATTAAAATTAAACATCTGGCTTGGCGCCTATAGCTCAACCAGCTAAGGCGCCAGCCACGTACACCTAAGGTGGCGGGTTCGAATCCCCAGCCCGGACCCGCCAAACAACAATGACGGCTGCAACCAAAAAAAAAATAGC